CACTCTGGCAGTTTTTATGTGGCTCCGCCTTTTATTTGTGACTTCCGTTACATAAATCTGTTTTTTCTGCGTTTTGACTAAATTTCTGCTCTTCTCTTATCCTCTTCGTGCTCCATGTGCCTCCTCTACATACCTTCTATGTCTTTGGTTCATATGCGACTGTAGAGTATGAAGAAAAACACTTGCCCCAGTATGTAGTCATAGAGCTTCCAGCATTTGATGAACCTATATCTCACCGGCCACTATCGCAAAACCATTATGACACCTATAAGTATCATTCATCATAGGAGTATTAAACTGGCACGTAGTCTACTCAGTCAAGCACTTTCGTAACTTCAGCAAAAAACAAACATAAATGTTTAAGGTTTTGTTTTCTGCCTTCTATAATTTTCATGGCAGGTTACTAAGCGAAATACAACCACAACGTTGCTGAGATATTTGCAAAACTCTGGACCGCAGGTGTCTATGGTGGGGAACGAACGCGCTATTATCCTTTCCGGGGAGTAACGCGTTCACCACCACACCATGCGGGTCCTTTGTTTCGCACGTCTCTCAGCTACAAACATAAATCTTTATTTTCTAGCGGCATTACCCATCGAATCCCAGCGGTCTCGTGTCGAATCGACTATTGTGGACGAATGGTCATATTGCTATTTTCGCGCTATAAAATCTATTAGCTGACGGCGTTCTTTTTCACATACATTTCCTTTTATTTTTCCTACCGTCACATAAAAAAGTCAATCCGACAGCTTCATGTTGGCAGTCGCTGGTTTACAGATCACTAGGGAATCAATCAATAGGGATCATTTTGCGAGCTAGATTTTGTCTTGTCAAATGCATACCTACAGAGTAATACATCTTCACTGTGTTCACCAGTTCACGTATCAGTTAATTCAAATCGAAGCGACTATCGATATTATAAATAAAGAATAATGGTGTCTGCGTTGATCAATTCTTGAGGGACGCGCCATGCATTCGACTTCATTAAGCATCATTGGATTTGATTGAATGCATATCTGGTCTTTATAATGATCTACGGTGGCCTACCGGTGTATCGTTTGGTGGGCCAGGGGTGTGAGGGTCGATCTCATGTGTATTGCGGGGCGCCTCCAACTACTGCGTTACGCCCGCTCCATCGATACAGATTCATAATCGCTAAATTTATTTAGTTTTCATTTGATTTTATCATAACCACTTTTAAGAGCAATGTTATGTTTCCTTTTCTGCTCGGTAATGGGATGCTTTATTTCTGATAACAAGTTTCATACCCATTTTGGTGCTGCCTCTAGAAATCCTAAAATTATTAGAAGTTCAGGGTTCCTCGCCGTCCCATCAAAGGCTTCATTGCTCTTCACAGTTTTTGAGGAGCTCTGCTGATTTCGAATGACGGCAAAGGAAAAGTGTGCACTGAAATTATTGCGGTATGAGTACTGCTTAGATGTCGCTCTTCTCGGTGGCTTTCTCATTACGAGGTAGTAGTGTTCCCAACACGTAGTATGGGTATCAGTGAAGTCTATGATTATTAAGTTATGATTAAGTGCATGTTTTTGAATAAAGGACATTTAAAAAGAGAAAATCGGTCGGTATTACTGGGTTGGTGGTGCCGTTTGATGATGTGGTGGAGGTTTTGCTGGGGTTCGAGAACCCTCATCAGGAAGCTGTTGTGACATTAAGCGATCGAAAACTTTAAGCAAATCTAGCAAATTTTTTAAAACATGAAAACAAGAAAACGTTCTAAGAGATACAATAATGTCGCTGAGATATTTGCAGAAGTTGGACCGCTGGTGTCTGCAGTAGGGTGATTGCTGATAGCGCCCATATTTCAATAACACGGCTGAGAGACCTGCGAAGTGAAGGATTGGCATGGTGTGGTGGTGAACGCGTTAGCCCCAGGTAATAGCTAATAGCGCGTTCTTTCCCCACCGCAGTCACCAGCGGTCCGGAGTTTTGCAAATATCTCGGCAGCGTTACGGTTACATTTCTCATAATACCCTGCCGTTGAAAATTAGTAAGCATCGAGTAGAAACTGACGATATTATCAACAGCATCTTAGAATTTTCGCTCATCACAAAACACCAAGAAGTTCTATCTTCAAATTCTTATTAGTCGTAATTTTACACTTGTGCCTATTTCATTTACAACAAATTAGTCATAAATATGCCGTACTGCAATCGGTTCCACCACGCTGTAATTATTATTTAAGTACATACAACTGTTCTGTTGTAAAAGTGTGTTGTAATAAATATTGATCGTAGATCGAATTCTAACGTGGTTTACTGTACCTGTAGATCTATTAAGTACCTGCCATCTGAAAACATGTATGCTGTACATAATACATAGAATATTGTAGTATATAAAGCTGAAGATGCCGATGCTTCCAGACTCGTTATGTATCGTTAGGAGCTGAATTGAATGATGTTATGATGATTTAGTGGAAGTAAGCTGGTAAATCGAGGTATTAGGTAGTTTCTCGCCAATGATTTCAGAATTTTAAGAGAGAAAGAGTGAAAAAAGAGCTGTTGAAGTTAGAAAGGCGAATTAAATTTACACGACGTCGTATTATGTGAATATAGGCTTAACATCGGGATTAGTTGATTTTAATTAAGACTTAGAACGAAAACCAGTCGATACCTATGTTTCATACGCTCATCACGGTAAGGGTTATTATAATGTTCGCTACGATGTAATGATCATCAAATGGTTTGTCGACGTAAAACTTCTTCATCACTGTCTTTAATCTTACCGTATGTGTTTCATTGGACTTCTGCTTGTTGATTTTCAGTCAATGGCTGTGGTTGATGCAACATTTGCAACGTTTGTGTCCCCATATCACCTGTGTCGGGATGGAAACCTCAGCATCCATGGAACCGCCTGCCTCTTGGTCACAACGAGGCGATACATACACACACACACGCAGACACACACATACACACACATACACGCATATATACACATACACACATACACACACACCCACACAGAAATACGCAACACATCCAACTATATTCAAGTACATACATGTACACAGGGATGTTATTGCCGGTCAGTCATAGTTGTCTGTTGTGGCAGGTGAATTGAAGAATACTACGACGAGCGCTACCACCACCATCACTATCTTCACCAACATCATCACAACGATTTCGCGGTTCTGTGGATGTTGAAGATTGGGATAGTAAATTCAGAAACCAAATTCTCGCAAAAGTAACTAACATGTGTGTGCAGTGATCTGCGATCCGGGCGTTTGCAAATATCTCAGCATCACAATGTTTAACGTTTTGTTTTCTGCCTTCTATAATTTTCATGGCAGGTTACTAAGCGAAATACAACCACAACATTGCTGAGATATTTGCAAAACTCTGGACCGCAGGTGTCTATGGTGGGGAACGAACGCGCTATTATCCTTTCCGGGGAGTAACGCGTTCACCACCACACCATGCGGGTCCTTTGTTTCGCACGTCTCTCAGCTATTTCTATCGATCTTTTTGCCACAGCAATCACCCGTCAGCGGGTTGAAAACAAAACGTTAAACATTGTGATTTCAACTACAGCCATAGCTTAACTAGGTTCTATGCCGATTTGCGCTCCCCAGATCAACCCCGCTGACGGGTGATTGCTGTGGCAAAAGGATCGATAGAAATAGCTGAGAGACAGGCGAAACGAAGGACCCGCATAGTGTGGTGGTGAACGCGTTACTCCCCGGAAAGGATAATAGCGCGTTCGTTCCCCACCATAGACACCTGCGGTCCAGAGTTTTGCAAATATCTTAACTTTTGTTTACTGCCTACTCCTTTTTTATGGCAGGGAATAAATTAAAAGATAAAGCTTTCGGCGTTGATCTATCCGTTAGAAATGCGCCATGCATTCAACTCCATTAAGCATCGTTTGGAGCTGATTGGATGCATATCTCGCCTTTACAATGACTCGCCGTGGCCTACTGATGTATCGAGTCAATGCCGCTATCCTTCGAGATATGTCGGCTATCAATTTGCCGATCCCGGAAAGAGGGAAAGCTTGGTGGGCCAGGTGCGTGGGAGTCAGTCCTTTATGTATTGCAAGGCGCCTCCGATCACTGCACCACACGCGCTTGTGGCAGGGAACGGTGCGTAATAAACACAACCACAAAGATGATGAGGTATGAACCAATCTCGCGACCACAGGTGGGTTTCGAATCCATGATTACTCATACCGGGGCTCACGTGTTATCCATTACACGAACCCAGGTCCTTTCTTTGCCTTTTTCTCAGCTATGTTTTTACTGTGTTAGTGTTATGAGTAATTATCCGTTAACGGGATTGATCCGGGGAACACAAATCGGCATTGAGCCCACTTAAGCTGAAGTCACGGTCAAAATCACAATGTTTCAATTTTATTTATTGCCTATTCTCTGCTTATGTGGTGGATGCCACGTAAGCTACCGGTAAGGGTAATGGCAAGTCTCGCCTGAGGTCCCAAGTATTGCTCATATCTCAACATTTCTGTCGTTGTACTTAACGTGTACAAAGTTTCTGCGTGGTTGTAGATGAGTAGTGAGCCTGTGGCTGCCTGTGGTGTAACGATTTGTGGCGATCTGGTGCGTTTTTCCAGTTACCCCAAGGAAAATTGTTCCCAAATAAGCAACAGATGCAAAATATGTTGTTTTCCCACACAATGTTAGTTAAGAAGAACCATTCAAGCATTCAAGTCATTATGAACCATTATAGATGGCCTCAAGCGCTCATTTGACAGTGGAAGTGGTGGGCAACAGAACAAAAGGATAAAATTTGATGACTAACTAGTTATATCAGCTATATAACGGCGTCGTCTTTATTTTCACATGGTTACGATACTCGTACTATTTGTTGTTGTTCATTTAAATGTTGTGATGTTGACTGTCTTCTAGTTGTACTCTATGACGTTGTTCACTGTTATGTTGTTATTCAGATTTAGCGCTCATGTGTTTCTTTTGTTGTGGACAAAAGTTCCTCGGCACATGAACTTTTTTTCCAATAGAAGTTATGAACCTATGAACAAATCCCGAATAAAGTCTGATATGTAGGACATCCCATCGTTTGAACAGCGATCAAGTCGTAGAAAGATCCCATTGAATCGGCAAAAGCTTTGAGAAGAGCAGGCATCGCACCACTTGTAAGGAGTGCATCACACTGCAAAATAGTGTAATAACACATGTTTTAGTTAGTCCATTGTAACTGGGCACTACTGTGTCTTATACTCCTCCCAAGGCACTGTCGTATTATGGCAGTGATGGAATAGGAGGGGAGGGTTTCTAGGCGTTGAATTGATGTGTACATGCGATTATTTACCAAGATCTAAGCAGTTCGTTGTTATTACCCGGAAGCCCAGTTGAAAGCAAGCACATGCCTGGTTAGTCTGTAGTTGTCTTGTCTGTGGTTATGTTGTCACCAAAAAAAGAAGTGTGGACTTTCGACTTGGATCGTTAGCGCTGAAGAAGACGAAGACGTCGAAACAGACGAATGAGAACCGTTTCATCAAACTCGCGTTTGCTTAGCAATCGAAGAAGATATTAAAGGAATGTGTGAAAAAAAAGCATGGCACAACGGGATCATTTTTTGATCCTACGAAGAGCAAAAAGCCAAACAGACGCGAAGATGGAATTATGCCGGAGAACCCTTCTGTGAGAATGCATGGGATACTGTAGTAAGACCACAGAAACACTGGTTTCAACGATGAGATCCTTCAGCTCATGAGTCGAAAGCAACTTGTAGGACCGTTGAGAAATTTTAAAAAAACCTAAAATTGTCAAAATGAAGTGAGTAGATGTACGAATGGTTGCCCATAAAGTACGACTTGTTTCATAGGTGTTTGTTTTATGTAGCCCCATTACCTGAGTCTATATCGATACGAGCGTCTAAAGTTCTAGAGAAAGAGAAGCTCACCAAAATATCAACCATACCCAATTAGTTGTTGTACAACAGCCTTGAATTCCTCACAATTGGAAAGAATAGACCCTGACTTGTCCAGGAACAGTTCGCGCTCTGCAAACCAATTAGAGACGCTTTCCTAGCTATCACAGGACTTCAGAGAGAATCGTCTCAGCAAGTATTCAACGAAATAACTCGGAAGACCGACTTTCTATGAACCTCGGCATAGATAGTTGATATATTTATTTATGTGATCTTATAAACTGATCTTCTTAAGCTGACACGAGGTTGGTACAGATCTTCGTTGTCGTTGTCGTTGTTTTTGATGTTATTGAACGATGGCTGACGTTTCGGCGACTTCGCCTTCCTCAGAGCCGTGATGTTACGTGCGGGCTCTGAGGAAGGCGA